CTGCTTAGTAAGATGGTTGGTCGGAAGCTGTCACCGAGCCTGATTACTTATAATCTGTTAATCCATGGACAGTGTAAAGAGGGTAATCTAGATAGTGCTTTCAGGTTGCTTAATTTGATGAATGAGAATGGTGTGGTACCCAACCAGCGGACTTATAGTGCTCTTATAGATACTTTATGTAAACATGGGAGGGTGGAAGAAGCTCATTGCCTACTTGATTCTCTCAAGGAAAAAGGCATAAGGCCAAATGAAGTGATATATACTGCTTTAATCGATGGGTATTGCAAAGCAGAGAAAATTGATTTTGCGTCCAGTTTGTTGGAGAGGATGCTTACAGAAAATTGTTTTCCAAACTCTTGGACTTTCAATGTGTTGATAGATGGATTGTGCAAAGGGAATAAACTGCATGAAGCCTCACAACTACTGGAAAGGATGGTGATTGGAGGTGTGAAGCCCACAGTTGTTAGTTATACGATACTCATTGAGCAAATGTTGAAAGAATATGCCTTTGATGATGCCGACAAAGTTTTTGACCAAATGGTCTCCTTAGGATATAAGCCTGATGTTTGCACTTACACTCCATTTATTCTTGCATATTGCAAGCAAGGGAAGTTGAAAGAAGCAGAAGATGCGATGGCTAACATGAAGGAGAAAGGTGTTCTGCCTGATTTGATGACTTATACAGTATTAATTGATGGGTATGCGCGAGCAGGATTGATACATCGTGCTTTTGATATTTTCAAATGTATGTTTGATGCCGGATGTGAACCTTCTCATTATACCTATTCTGTTCTAATCAAACATCTATCTAGCGGGAAGTTGTTGAAAGAAAGTAAAAATAGAATAGCACAAGAATTGAATCCAAATGTCACCACCATCAATATTGCTGATGTATGGAAAATAATGGAATTTGATACTGCTTTGGAGCTGTTTGAGAGTATGATTGAACATGGTTGCACACCTAATGTTAACACTTACAGTGCACTCACTACAGGTCTTTGCGGAGAGGGGCGCTTTGAAGAAGCCTCAAGGTTGGTGGATCATATGAAGAAAAGAGGAATATCTCCCAGTGAAGACGTTTATAACTCTCTTGTTAACTGCTACTGCAAATTGGGAATGTACAGGGAAGCATTGAGGATGGTAGATACTATGGTTGGATGGGGTTTTTTACCACATCTAGAGTCCTACAAGCTTCTTGTTTGTGGGTTATATGATGAAGGAAATATCGAAAAGGCAAAAGCAGTTTTCTGTAGTTTGCTTCATCAAGGATACAATCATGACGAAGTGGCTTGGAACGTTCTGATTGATGGCTTACTTAGGAGGGGTCTTGTTGATATATGCTCTGAACTGGTAGACATCATGGAGGAAAAGGGGTGCCAACTTAATCCTCACACACATTCAATGTTGACTGAGGGACTTCTTTTTGATACAACAGAAGGACATAAAAGTTAATATTTATTTTATTTTATTTTTTTGTATTTCAGTGAGATTCTTTAAAATATGTTGCAAGAGCTCTATCTGGTTGGTCTCAGATATGATTGGGTCAAGAGTTCTCTTTCAGAAGGGACTTCTGGATATAAAAAGATGGGAAGACATGAATTTTCCAATTTTCTTGAGATTTTTCACATTTTGGCCAAGAGTTCTCTTTGGTTGGCCTCCCACATAAATTGGTGGAGGCTAAAAGTATACAGATGCGGAACCAATTCTTTGGCACACATACTCAAAATTTCTTGATTTAATTGTTCTCAATAATCAAGCAGTTGTTATATGGGAAGCACTCCCATATATCATTTGGATATCCCAAAATCTGATTCTACTAGTAGCCCCACACAATGTAAACAAATGTCAATGACAAGCATGAGGCAAGTGACCGTTTACCAAAAGTTTCTATTTTCTTCCTTATCCTTTCTGTCTTGTCTTGTTTTCCTTCTTTTAGATGAATCATTTTTGTGTTTTTCGCAAGCAATACAGAAAGAATGCTCTCTTTTTGGTGGTTACTGATGGTACATTTGCACATACGAGAAGCTGACCTAGATTGAAACTAAAAGATAAATGAGGTAAAGGAATTTATGGGTATGAATTACATATTTTTCCCCTTTCCGTCTTTCACTACTTAGACATTATCTAACCTTTTTTTGGTCAATATTCAGTCATTCCAATCTAAAGTACTTTAACATTTTTTAGTTCAATCACAGTCGATGTAATTGTTCTGATGTCCTGGGGTCTGCAACTGCTACACTCTACCCCCTGTTCCTCTGATTTGCATTCCGGACTCTAAATTATGTTTTTCTTTTTTGACTGCCATTACCTCAGTCTCTTTATTCAGCTATGAGTCACTGGGAACTCATAATTTCACCTCCTTAAACCCTTAAAGGAACCCAGCCAAAACAAAAACAAAAACAAAAAAACTCTTAAAAGAAAGAAACTATTACTGGTTTTACGTGATATGGTCATGTGCCGTACAAAAGTCTTCCAAGTATGACTTTTGTATTCATTTGAAAACTTGCAAAATGTGTGTTTTGTTGGTGTTGAGAAATGAATGAAATCTAGGTGCTCTTCTTATTGTCATAAAAAATTTGAGAGAGAGAGAGAGAGAGAGAGAGATTGGTAACATACTTTTGTATCCGTTTCCCTTTCATTAGATTTTAAAAATAAGTATCTAACCACAAGAAAAGATATATGAACTGAAAAATCAGTATCTTGATTTCAATGTTCAAATTGCCATTTTTCATTCTTCACAGCTCTATTTTTTAATTTCTGTCTGCAAAAATTCTTTAGGAGATGAAAGAAAGAGGAGCTTGGACTGATAGCTGATCAGAAATTTACATTTGTGTCCTGGGAAGAGGGTAAGTGACTTAAAAGAGAACTTTCTTGTATTTCAGTTTCTAAAACTATTGAACAAACAAAGGGTTTACTTTATCTTCCTTGAGTTCTTTTGAGCAAAGTTGGAAAAGATTTCATTATTCTTTTCTCTTCTTTTCGCTGGATTAACTTTGTTTATCCGAAGCTTCTTCTTTTCTTTCCGTTTAAATTCCATGAAAAAAAATAAAAAATGATGTGTGTATTCTATTTGTAGCAGTGAGGCAACAGCAGTGAGATCTCCCCCTTGGATTAGCAGCACATAGAACAGCAATAGAAGAGTGGACTAGATCTCTACATTTTTTTGGCAAAGGAAAATAATTCGACTTTGTGGTGTACAGAAAGACATCTTCGCCTCCACAGAAGTCTGGCATTGTGTTTGGTTGGTATGTTGTTAGTGTCTCTCACATTACTATTGACAAACAACTGATGCAAGCTAATGTGGGGGTGTATATGGTAATTGTAAAAGTTCAGTTGAGAGGAAGAAGATGAATGCAAAAGAGTTGCAAAATAGTGCCGAGTGTATACCCTTCTCAAATGCATTGTGTATACATGGTATCACAAATATGTTACATAAACATAAGCTGTATATTTTCACAGCTAGAGACATACATTTTTAAGGTTACATATTGAATGACAATGCTTTTTTCTCATCCTTGTTTGACATTCTACATGGAATGTGGTATGTTGTTGGAGGTGTTATCTTTTATTCCTTTTTTGTACATTGGAGGAGCGACTCAGACCCGACCTTCTATTGAAAAGGTGCAGGAGTTGGCTTCGAGATGTTACCTTATATTTTTCTTTGCTTTTTCATTTATAGATGAGTGACTTTTTAGAGGATATCTTGTCTTTTCATCCATGATTTCATGTGATATGGGATGTGCTTGATTTTTACAAATCTTGATTGAACTATTTAAATCTTTAGGTTTGTTTTTTATAGCTCAAAAGAATGTTACAAATTAGTGATAATTAGCACTTGCTACAAATATAGCTCCAAATGAAAAAAGATTTATTGATTATCTAGTTTTTGTTTCTTTACGAATTGTGGACTGGTAGGTTTAACTTGTAATTTTTTTTTTGAAAGCATGAAAAGCATTTATATTAAAATAAAATAAACATTATATAAATTAAAAAGAAAAACAAGAATACCTTAAAAGGTCAAGTGAACAATCAAACTACAAGCAACAAAAACAAATTTGTTAAAAAATCAGTTACGAGGTAGAAAAAATCACCGATCTCTAACAAACCAAGTAAGGTTTGCATCAACACCTATCGCTATCGTCGCTATCCAACTCTATCATCGCCGTCACCGTACTTCAGACACCACTTGAAGTTAGAGTTGAACAACCATAATGGAATGGGAGAAGGCTTGAAAGAAGAGGGAATCATTGTGGGTGTCGAAAAGCTAAAAATTTATACCGAAATCGGGAGAGAAACACTCAAAACCTTTATTCCAGATATAAAAAACTTATTTCTATACTCTAGAAGTTCAGATCTATACTTTAGGAGTGTAGATTTACATTTTAAAAGTGTAAATGAGGTTGCCAGAATATCCCCGAAGCATTGCCAAAAATCTCTAGAGAGAAGCTCTCTCTCTTTGGGCCAAACAATTAACTAGTGAAAGTTGAAGCTACCAAATGTGGGTTTAAACTATAGATAGCTGCTCTTTGCCTAGGCAAATCAAGTCAATAAATATCCATTATCCAATAATACCATACAAGTCAATAATATATGCTTTAATGAATAAAAATAAAAAGCCCTTCAAATATATGATCTTTAGGTGAGGATGTAAAACGTTATGATTTGATTCATAGTGGTATGAAACAAGCTTTTTTGCGAAAGCCAACCCTCTATTTTATCTCCAACCCAAAACCGTGAACTTGTTCAATTTGAATCTGCTTAAAACTTGTACAGACTTATAAATGGGTCCTAACTGGGTTGCATGAATTACACCCATTTAAAAATCCATTAAAATAGGTTGGACATCTAGTCGTAAAAACCAAACCATGAAGAAATTCAACAATGAGCTGCAAAATTTCAGGACTCAAACTCAAGCAAACCTTCCAGAGTTCCATTGTATATAATAGTGAAACCTTTGTGGAACATGAGAGCTGATTTCAAGGAAGGCAATCAAAACTCTATTTACCCAAATCCAAATAAAAACCACCATAATGATATGATAAAACTCATCTTACAATTGCACATTCCACAAAAAGTTTTATTTTTGTGTTCTCAAAGGTTTAGATCAAATCTAAATTAGAAGCACAATAACTACTTAAAGAGAAAACATAAGGACCACAAAACAAAATGACAACACTTTGTTTGGGCAAGAACAGAACAGAATTTGTAACGCCAGCAAAACCTTTTTTTTCTAAAGCGGCATGCAACATAAATTTATTGTCTGAAGAAACCGAAGATCATGATCCAACAAACGCACTGCATCCCATAGGGAGGGGAGACAAGGGATTTTAAATCAACTTGTGAATTGTTTTCATATCAGCAGCTTCCTGGAGGGTCCCTTTTTCCACATTGTCCCACCACTTGAGCAAGAAGTTATCCACAACTAGTCTGAACCATGGGGACAGCTTCAAACCCCCCTCACCAGCATCTGCTTTTCTCAACAGCTCTTTCAACTCATCCCGGTTCACATATTTGACATCAGCAACTTCATCAGGGTTTGGATTCACATTAACATCCCGGACAATGAACAGTAGGTAGTCAACTGCAAATAGAGTATAAGAGATTTAGCATTGAATTATACCAAAAAAATAATAATAATTCCATGATCAGTTCTCTAATGTATATAACATGTCAATGAAATCAAGTCAAGACAGATTCAACAATTAACAACTGAGCTGACTAGCCACGCTTGTCAAATTTTGAGATCAAATTTTGAAAAACTCAGGGCTTTAGGCAGATTCTGGAATAACACCTCTTTTTGGAAGAGGAAATTTATCATCTCTTAAGAAACTATTCAGAGGCTGATCATTGATGACTAATAACTCTACCATGTAAAGACATAGTCTAATAAGAGAACGGAAAAAACTACCGCTGGTAGAGATTATCAATCTCATCAAATATTTGGCATCATTGCAACTTTGAATTAGGTTAAATGGATTTTCAGGCAGACCAATGGTCAGATGCATCACGGTCTTAGTTCAGAATTTATGAAAAAGACGAGCAAATCAACAGATACAAACATGCTGAGGTTCAGATTGAATTAAAGCAAGAGTTATTACGTTCATGCTCTCCCCACTTCCCATCAGATGTGCTTGTACAACATGCGACCCAATGGGTGAACTGATCAACTGGCACATCTTAGCAGGAATACCCAGTTCATAAGCTTCCTTTGTGCAGCATTTCTCACCCCTGGCAAGTAATTAACCATGGAAGTCAATGAGAAGTCCAGATGGATAAGAGTATAATGGTCCGTCAACAGTTAACACACACACACACATATATGTAGAGAGAGAGAGAGAGAGAGAGAGAGAGACCAAGGGCATTCTCGTCAATAAGCTCAGATTCTCGGTATAGCGGATGGCTACAGCAAGTGTTTGTCCACACCAGAGGGAATGTTACCTTGGTCGCAGACCTTTGCTGCTCATACAAGAGAGGTTACAACGTTAAAAATATAAATATCCTATTAATGATTACCTAAATAAAAGCCCCACCAAAAAAGGAAAACTTCAATGTCCAAAGGCCAAACAAAAATTATATTTGTGTTAGATTCTTTCTTATCCTATGGATAAGAGTAATAGAGTCCAAAGGCTAAACTTCAATGTCCAGTATCCTATTTTCCTTAGATTATTTCTTATCACCATATCCATATCGTATCCTATGCACATCTCGTATTAGTATTTATGCTCCATGGGTCAATAAATTCTGATAAAGTATTCAAGAGAACTAAGTTAAACAATAAGATTATAAGACTTTTTGGTCTAATGCCTTTCAACATCAAATTGGTCATAAACTTCAGGTTCTGTGAAAAGTTTTCCTAAAGGTTCCGAGCTGGCAGTGGCAGCTAGAGATCGCTCATATGATAAAGTGAGAGAATTAATGGGTAGAAATGAAACAAATGGCCACAAGTCCAATGTAGCCTTGTCAATGGTCATTTCAAAAAGATCCATTATTGCATGATATAAATAAGGATCCACTCTCCCAATATTCTTAGTATGTGAGTTAGCTGCATTCAGATCTCAGTTCCCATACCCAAGCAGAATAATAACCTTATTCTGACCACAAATAACATATTGGGCAAGATTTAACCTTGATCCCAATATTTTCCTTCCCTCCATCAATTGAATCCATTGGGTTTACAGCAATCCACATCAGATGATTTCAGAAAAATCATCCATCTCTTTCTACGCTGACCTCTTGTCCTATACAAGAACAGCGACTAAGAAAGGGGGAAAAAAAATCTGAGGCTCAATTTACCATGATAAGAATAGGAGCCTAACATGCTACTACATATTTAACAACATTCATACTTTAGCACGATTCCGCACACTTAGGAACAACACATATAGACTTCATTTTGATTTTAACTTCTCTAGTCTTATAAGGAGAACTTCCCAGAATCAAAAGTGTCCCTCCCTCATATATTCACATTATTTCAAAACAAACACATATTTGGACAATTAGAAACCAAAATTGTACATATGTTACATAATACTATCAATTGACATTTCCTTTCAATAAAACTTCAATATATACCTGAAGGAGTAACTCATATTTTGAGTTAAACAAAAATACGCTGAAAGCTCTGTGCAGCAAATTCTCAGATTCAATCTTTTCCATCAAGTGACCTGCATATTAGAAAATGATCGGACAAATATGGTAAAATCAATCTCACACTTAATGATGCCAAATTATTCAATTTTGTAGTATCTAGGTATTAGTCCATGTAATATTGTCAAATTAGTGTTCCTCTCATTTACCTAAACCAGAGCCAAGTGGCCTTAGAAGAACATCTTTACTTATCTAGTTATAATAATCTACTTACAATTGTATTTGGTATCATGACCAACAACACGATCATTCTCATCCACCAAAATACACCTGCAAAAGTTTAAGTGGAAGTATTCTTATTAAAACCAAGGAAGCAAAAAACATTCTTTACAAAACCAACTGTATACAGAACAAATGGCTCCTTCCTAACAATGCATAATGAAAACAAAATTAAAGAATCATTTCAGTGCATCAGAAGAATTTGCAAGCATAATGTCCATAAAAAATCAAAATTTGATATGAGATATTTTTTAACTAAATAATAAACAGGGCATGCAAATTATTCATTTATATAGGATTTTCTAATGTTTCAGGGAACATAAAAGTTGAAACATACTGTAGAAGCAGACTCATAATAATAGTCACGAATAAGTTCCCTATACGCTGCATTCTTCCAATAAAGAGAATCAAATCTGGGTCTCCTTACCTTACTGATCAATATGTATATATATATATATTAAAGTCCCAAATACGACACAGGTCTACCATAGTACTTTGATACCACAATCTAATTCACATAGGTTACATCCAAATCACCACCACTTCCCAAGTAAACCCCATCAGTTATATCCACTGTCTATTGCTCTTCAACAGGAACCCATTCCATACACCACTAAGACCATCAATAGTCCAGCCTTCATTGCCTGTAATTCATAAATGATCATCACATAGACCCAAGAGCCCACCATGACTTTTGGTTTCAAAAAAGAAAAACAATTTTTTCTTCTCGAAACAGCAAATCATGCTGCTGGTGACATGTTTATGATAGTTTTTTCCTACAAATTTCCTCAAAATAGTCATTTTCTCATGAAACAAAAAACAAAAAGCACAAAATCCCTTTTCTTAAACCCCCCCAATTTTTTTTTTTTGTTAAAAATAAAAACTTGTTTTCGCTATCATTTTAACTTAAATTTCTACTCAAGCAAGATGAAGGACACAAGAAATGACACCTCTTCCATTTTTATTTTTTTTTTACCATTTTCATCAAGAGGAAGCCAAAACTAGTAACAAACTGACAATCAAATTTATACTGGGTTTGGCTCCTTCCATAATTTTATTTTTTCCAGTCAATCACCTTCACCTTCACCTTCACCTTCAAATCTCTTTTTAAACCAGCAACAAAATAGTATTTTATTTATATATCGTATATACAAATACATATTTATATATATATATATATATATATCAGAAATGATTCTTCACCCAAATTAAATGCAGATGCAAGGAAATCTCTTTCTACTACAGTGATTCGTACATAGGTGCACCTGTCACTATCAAAAAACCAGATCAACAACTGTATCTAAAATAAAAATCGCCATTTTCTCTCTCTTTTTTACTACAATCTTCTTCATCAAACAATCAACATTAAAAAAATAATTAAAAAAAAATTGATTCTTCAGCCAAATTAAAAACCCGAAATCTCCTCCTACGACAGTGATTCGTATAGTTGCACTGCAACTGTCGAAACTATCAAAAACCAGATCAACAACTGTATCTAAAATAAAAATCGCTATTTTCTCTCTTTTTCTTTACAACCTTCTCATCAACCCATCAACCAAATACACAAACAAACAAATCAACAGTCCAAAACAATAAAAACAATATTAAAAAAAAAACGAAATTCAATCAAATAGAGAGAGAGAGAGAGAGTGAATGTTACTGACTCGTCTTCGAACATGAGACGCCTCTGGACAGCGTCCATCCCAGCATCGGAGGCGGCGGCGGCGGCGTCAACCATGGCGGCGGAGGAGGGGGAGGAAGAGCGAGGAGAGAAGGTCCTCCTCCGAGTACTAGTACTAGTAGTAGTCGTGAAGATGGGAGGGTTTGTGAGAAGAATAGATGGTGTAGATGATGTTGATGCTGATCTTAAATAGGAGGAGAAGAAGGAAGGAGATTTAGGAAATATGGTGGTGGTCAAAGTGAATGAAGAGGAGAAACAAAATCTAGTAGAAGAGACAGGGGCTGTTAAATGAGATGTTAACAACATTTTATTTTTTTTGGCTCTCCTTTCTTTTCTTCCCCCAAACAACTCTTTTCCACACGCATTTTATCCTTTTCTTATTTTGTTTCTCACTCCTAATCATTCAATAATTCGGATTAAATAGTCGCATTGTCTATTAATTTTAAGTGACTCTTTCTTTTTTGTTAATTTATAATCTAAGACAAATTATGACAAAATATTGTTTAATTGTCACACTAATTCTTTTTTTAGATTGGAAAAGCAATTGAGGTTCGACTCCACCAATACCATTAGGTCATGTTTGATTTACAAAATTAATAGTGAAGATATTAATAATCCTATCAAATTAGTGTGGTATTCATTATCGAATTGAAATTGTAGGATAAATTATTCCCTTATCTATTGTTTGATTTGCATTGGATTAGTAGAAAAAAAGTGTAAAAAGTGTCATTTTATTTTATTTCCCAACTTAAGATATATATAATCTCACCCCTATTCCATTATTAATGATCTTATAAATTTGTTAGATTAATAATCTTGAAATAAAATTTCAAAACAAACACGGATTATTGAGCTCACAAATTAATAATTTCAATCTCATACTCTAATCTTATTAATCAAGCATGTTCTTAATGATAAGAAAACCTCCTCTATCCAAATGCATGGCGACTCAAAATCAAAAATTAATCTATACAAACAATGAATTACATAAGACAAACATGCAAAAAAATCGAAATCCCAAATAGCCTGAGCTGACCTTGAGTAGTACACACCAAATGGCCATAGGATGACAAGTAGGCCCTCTTGCCCTGGATAGCAGACACAATATTTAGGATGAGCGGTTATCACAACAATTATTGTTGTGTCTTAATTTGAGGTTTATTATAAATTTATTTTTATGATTCAATTGTTATTTTGTAAGGTTTGTTGAGTGCTTTATACATATCGAAAATCATATTAATCGGATATCAATAACTATATGATCGAATTATATTTATTATAAAAAAATAAACAATAAGTTTTTTCTTTTGAGAAATAGTATAAAAATTATACAATCCGATCACAGAGTTATTGATATCTGATGAATATAATTTTTGACATGCATGAAGAATTTAACGAATCTTACAAAATGGCCGATTCAAACCATGAAATAAATCTATAATAAATCTCAAATTAAAATACAACAGTAACCTATGTCCCAATATTTAGGAGGAGTGCCCTTGCCACACTAGTTTTAAAATTTTTTAAGTTTCTTAGATGAACTAATTTTTTTCTTATTTAATCTGATTGCTAACTTCAATTCAATTTGTCAGAGTACCCCGTGGCGTTAAATACAATCTAGTCTGCCACACTAATTTTTTGAAGTTTAAACTTTTTAAGTTTTGCCAATGAACTAATTTTTTTTTTAATTTAGTTTGATCGCTAACTTCGACTCTATTTACTAACAAATAACGTAAATAATGTAACATAGTATTCTGTGACATTAAATATAATGCATTAAATACAATCTAGACATGTAGAACAAATGACACTTTTCATTCCTTCCCGTTGAATCTTTCGTATCAATAGATTAACGAAGGAATAACTTGGTTTTTATTTTTTATTTTTTAAATTAGGGTAGTGTCCACATTTTAAAAGAAACAGTGCACCATAAAATTGTCCATTTTAACAAGCCTATTTGAATAGAGCTTACTAAAATATTTTATCAAATTTATTATTTTCATTTGTTTTTTTATGCGGCCCGATGGATTTCAATGAGTTTTATATATACATAATATTTATCACATAAATATTGACATGGCGGGATGTAAAATGGTAAAAAAATATAGATGATAATAAATGACACTTCTCTCTTTAATAAAATGTTGAGAAAATATTATTAATGGAAAGTACAATAATTAATGTAAATTTAGTAGTAAAGTTTAGGGAAATTTTTTTTATACTGTGTTTGATTGGAGAATTTATATATACAATAATTAATATTTATCACATAAGTATTATAAATTTCTTTGCAAATTCCTCAATCAAACACAACATTAAGGTCCGTAATATTAAAATTTTATAAGATAAAGAACAAATAATATTTTCATAATAGTAAAGGTCCCTCAACATTTTCACAGAGGAAATTCGATTCAGAGAAATTTTGTCCGACTCAAAAAAATTTGGCCCTGTGAAAATGTTGAGGGACCTTAGCTAATTAAAAAAAAAAAAAACATTTTTGAACATCTTCTGCTATACAAAGTTGGAGAGGGATGTTTCATTAATTTTTTCAAAAGTTTATAATTTTTTTTTTAATGTTTCAGAAATCTTCACTAATTTGATATTCAACAATGCTTGATAGCTCGAATGACTCGAATATTTCAAAACGATATCATTTTGGTGTAAAACGACGTCGTTTTAATATATTCATATCATTCAAAGCACACAAATTCGAACTATCAAATATTTTTCTTTGGTATTATTATTTTTTTCACTTTTTATTAAAATAATAATTTCATAAAACAGACCCGAGGGACACGAGGACTTGATTCTCTATTATTCACATCGCATACACGTGACACACGTGTTGTTCCTCCAACAGATCATAATCATCCAGTCAATTTAGGGTAAATTACACTGACACCACTGAGTTTTGATCTAATTACATCTCACCCTAACTCTTTGAAAATTGTGTTTCCACCCCTATGGTTAATAGTCTTATTTCACAAACTCCATATTTATATAAAATACAACAACTCCTAATAGAAAAAATTAAACTGAAAAAAAAAAAAAAAGTAAAACAAAGGGAAAAAAGAAGAAGAAGAAGAAGTAAAGCAAAACAATAAAAGAAATAGTGTAATTTTTCAAACGTTAGGGATGACATGTATTAAACTCAAATCTCATGGAGTGTAAGTGTAATTTACCCTTCAATTTATATTAATAATAAATTAAGTTGTTTTTATTTTTGTATATATAAGATAATTTTAGATTTGAAGATTGTTAATTCACAAGGATGCATAATTTTGTGAGGGAGGAGCTATACCTTGTCATGACCCCTATCAAAATCCATATAATAAAGTTTTTATTAACAAATTTTAAAATAAAATTAATAATAAAATTCAAAATATGAAATATGGTCCACTTCAATAATATGGTAACATCAATAAATAAATGGTTTTCTTTTTTTGTAAAATTTATTAATTTATAGAATATTACTTTTTTTAATAATTCATGACAATATTATTTAGAAGAAGATTACTATATTAAATTTTAGTGTAAGTTTATGTATACAAAAATCAAATATATAACTCTCACAAAGGGTAGGGTCCACATGTGTAGGAACTATACCTTGTGACATGTGGATCACATCCCTTGTTAGTTTATGTGTTTCTAGCATTATTATAAAATGTTACGTTAGATTTTGAGGTCAAATAAGGCCTAAATTTGGCTACCGTGCCTTCGTTTGGTAAAATGGTTGGGCTAATTTAGTATACTAAAAAATAAAATACACTAAAAAATTAATAAAATAAAATATCACATCTAAACCAAATGATTTAACTTTTTTTTCTCACAAAACTACAAAAAAAAAAAAACTAAAAATTCATCACAAACAAAATTTTTTTAGCCAAACTAAAATAGTCAAAAAATTAAATTAAAAAAGTTCTTCCTAAACAGAAGGACAATTACTCTTTCCATATACTAAAGCACAACATAAGTAAAGGACTGATTTGGTGTAATCTTTTATAATTTAATAATTAAAATAATAAGTTAAAAAAATATTTTTTTAGCTTTCTGAAAGTTTTTTTTTTTAATTTTTAATTTGTTACAATTAATTGAAAACTTTTTTAGCCAAACTAAAATGTCAAAAAATTAAATTAAAAAAAGTTCTTCCTAAACAGAAGGACAATTACTCTTTCCATATACTAAAGGACAACATAAGTAAAGGACTGATTTGGTGTAATCTTTTATAATTTAATAATTAAAATAATAAGTTAAAAAAATATTTTTTTAGCTTTCTGAAAGTTTTTTTTTTTAATTTTTAATTTGTTACAATTAATTGTAGCTCATAATCATAAATTATAAATTCACTAAATTGAAGGAAATTTTTTTTTAAGGAGTTCCAATTTCTCTATCCCGACAATGATGTGATCATGGCACCAATAGGTTTGGACTGTCCATATGTGTGGGAATTAATCTAAGCTATCCATTTTGTGTGAAACCTATTTGTGATATTATCATAACAAAAATAGAATTTGTGATATTATATATCACATATGAAGTGAATAATTTTCCTTGGAGGAAATGGTCTCAGTCAAATTTGCCATCTGAGTCCAAAGTCCATGTTGTAATATATTACAGTTGTACATGTCTGACTAACATTACAAAATAATAATTCAATGTGAAATAAATAAATGAGGCCATCAAAGCTAAGCTAATTTACACTATGTAAAACAAACTTGTCATAAATCAGAATGGCTATTAAATTTGGGAGTAGGTATGGCCCTCATTTTTATTTTTATTTTTATTTTTTGAAAAATCCTAGACATCCTAATAAAACTACTAAGTTTTTTTTATCAAACACTCACCACTACAACAAAAATCACCTTTGGCGACTAAAAATTTAGTCGCCAAAAGTCCCTCTTTAGTCGCCAAAAGTGGATTTTTCAGATTCAGCGACTAAATTTTTTAGTCGCCCATTTTGTCACCAATACTTAGTCGGCAGAGGTATTGGCGACTAAACAAGTTTTTGTCGGCAAAAACAGGTGTTTCAGCGACGAAAGTGATGGTCGCCAATAGTGAATTACACTTTCGGAAATTATACATTCAGCGACTAATATTTTAGTCGCTGATAGCCATCAATCGCCGACCAAAGTGATTAGTCGCCCAAAGCAACACTTTTGGCGACGACTAATTTTAGTCGCCAAAGGTATTCCGTGAAAAAAAAAAAACCTTATTTCTTTGCGTTTTCTGAGTTTCGAACCACTAACCCTTTCACAATCTAAACCTTTAACCAAACACTCCCTCCACTATGCCACTATAACATCACATGAATGTATATGCAATATATATTATTTATA